CTACTACTACTACTACCACCACAACTGCCGCTATTATTGATGCTAATGCTAACCACTGCTATCCTGACGGCTCCTGTTCCTGCTGTTACTAGGCCAAGCTCTGCCTTGTTGCTCAAGCCGGAAACCCTCTTCGACAGAAAGCTATCGAACAACAGAAGCTTCGGAAGACTAGATAGTTTGCAACCAAGCCATGCAAGCTGTTTTACACGTGGACTCGTGCAGCCCGTGCAGACACTCTCTGCCAGAAAACCCTGTAAGACTAGCTTGGTTAGATACAGCAGAAAAGAAACACTAGCAGAAGAGGCTCTCCAACAGAACAGAAGCGACATCATGCAGACTGCAATATCCCGGGATATTGGAGTCTCTGGGAAACGGCAATCTTGCGAGTATGTTTCGACGGCGAGCAGCCTTTCCCCAGTGCTAAATTGATAGACGAAATGCGAGTGACAAGACCACTGGCACCCCTTCGTGAATGCTTGCTCGCTGTCCTCAAGCGCAGCGTCGGACATGGCCGTGATGCCTCTATAGCGCTCGCTCCAGCATGAGGCCTACAGCAGCAAGAAGCACATGACACCCATGCCAAACAGACATAAGGAAACCACTCACCTCAAGACTTCCACAGAATGTCTTTCTGTCGCGGCATTGAGACCGTCTGAGTCTGTGAGCCCTCGCATCAGCTGTGTCGCTGTGCTAACGGCCTAACGGACACGAATTTCTGCGGATTGGAACATGGCCTGTTGGAGCTCGCATTTCTTGTCTCTTACCCCCGAACTCTCAACTGCAACTCTGTCAAACGTTTAAAGTCTCGGCAGACTCCAAACCTGAAGTCCTGAACTTTCAGTCGTATTCAGGAAATCCTGCAAGTCTTATCCTTTCACCAATCTCTCCTCCTGGATGAGCGCTCTTTTGCTGTCGTGCACAGTCGGGGCATGATGCTCAAGCAAGCCGGCATATTATGGAGCTACTTGCTGGAGCAGCTCGTCAAAACGCTACAGTCAAGCCGTGGTAGCTGCAATTTTCTATCCCCTAAGCCCCGCCTTCAGCTGTGATCCATGAGCGAAGGTCTCAGGCAACGGCCTGGCAATTTGAATTTTGAGGCCCCTTTCGGCTCGCTTCGGCCGATGCTAGCATCGGGGTCGCGTCTCAAGTAGGGTTCTGGGCTTGGCAAGCATGGGGCCTTGCTTCTTTTTTTCCAACTCTCATTTTGTTTGAACCCCTACCAACTTCTCGCGCTTTGCAGTCAGAGATCCTTAGGTGAATTACTTCACATCCCCATCCCGATAAGCCCGGCCCAAACCCGCAAGGGGCCTTTTGTGCTTCCACTTGTGGCTGCCGATCTCCCGGAGGGTGGGGCGAGCACAGTGGCTTACGCCCACGCCTCCTGTGAGTCTTCTTGCTCTGTTGCTCTGGAGATCATGATCCGGATGAGGCCAGCGGCTAGCGAGTGAGGTGATGACCGTGAGAGCCCAAGTGGACGCCTGATCACGGAACAGAAGCCTAAGCTCCACACATAGGCCTCTGGAAGTCCTGTTCTCTTGTAAGACCCTCCTCAACTCCGCAAGCTGACACCAAGTTTGGCTGACGGAGGCTCCTAACAGCAGCATGTAGTCGCATTGGATGTGCAAGTTCCAATACCTGAAGCGGCGGGGCGTGAGGCAGGTAAGAGGTGGAAGGTCGTACGACTTAGGACCTAGGCAGCTCGGATGCCCGAAGGTTCTGAGGACGCCAAGGTTTGGGTGGGCCACGCCCATGCCGGGATCGGGATCCATGCAGAGCCCTGCCCTGGCACAGAAGCCTCTGAGTCTAAACTGGCACACCCAACATCTTGCAATGGCATCGGTGTGTAGCTCTCCAGAGAACTCGCGTGGCACCCCTTATCCGGACCCGACCCGAACAGCTGAAGCTCTATTTCTTGGTCGTCTTCCGATGTCTCATGGAGCAACCAGATGCCCTCAGCCCAGACTACACAACGCCAGCTTCAGCAGAGATGCCAGAAATGCCAGGTCTCTCCTGCATCATCCTTTTCCGATAATTTTGGCCTCTGGATAGCAGCAGTAATTGAGCAAACATGCAGGCAGGGACTCAGTAAGCGCCAGGACTCTTGCTGATCTGCTGTGGTCAGAGCCTTACGTCGCAGCGTTTTCGTCCAGCACTCCTGGTGAAAACGGAAGTCGTGCACGCGGCTGCTTCAACCATTTCTTGGTTTCCCTCGAATTATGGCGCATCCCTGCTTGTCCTCTTCGCAGATCTGCTTCAGTGTAATAATTTCTGATTTGCGAGCATGAGAGCCGCGTGACATCCTCGTTGCCACTTTCAATGGTTTGCATAGAAGCTGATTTTCTCTGGACGTGGCGTAGAGTGTAGTGCAGGATCGTCATGGCAGGCGCAGCAGCAGTAAGGATTGCCCCAGCCATGTAGAATCATCTGTGCGGGCACGCGTTTTCTAAACAAGGCTGGGGCCCCAAAATTTTCAGCGTTCCTGTACCAGGTTGAGGGCACGTGATGCCAGTCCCAAGATTCTTCTTCTTGCCATGCGCGAGGTGGCTGTGGCCGGTAGAGGGGGGAAACTATAACATCCTGAAAGCTAAAGGTTTCCTCCGCACCCTCGATCTTAAAGCACTGCCCTCTGGCCTCTGGGTTGCTCACCAGGCAAGCGGTCGTCTTGGGCAGACCCTTGAAGCTCCAACAGTGATCCAAAGGTGCGGGGTCACAGGCCCCCCCACGAGGTCTTCTGGCTTCTTAGGGCCTACCTAGGGCTTGTGGACAACGGGCTGAGAAGCTGATCGTTCACATCATGCAGCTTCTTCAGCTCAGGTCTTCCGGAAGCTCCTAAGTGGTCTCTTTATTTCTGTAAATTTCACAATCGTCGGAATCTGCTTCGGAACTCGCTTTCACGGCTTCTGAAGTTTGGGCCCTCGCAACTTGCCTGTTGCCTCTAAGCATCCCGAGTAGCCATCAGCATGCCCTCGACGCCGGGTTCCCGAAGCAGGTTGTCGCAACGCTTGTAGAGCCTGTCAGCGCTTCAGCGAAAACACAGCCATGGGACGCAGGACTTGGGATGAACCTCAGTTCTCCTTCCCGTAGAGGGGCCTTTGTAACAGTTCTAGGGCCGGTCTTCTGGGAATTGGGGTAACCGGTAACCAGAATCTCCCGCGCACCCTTTTTCGCCTTTGCAGCTGTGATGACAAGCGAGACCGCGGATGCCAACATGTGGAGTAGCCCGTGCTCCAGGTGAGCTCGTGGTAAGCTTCCAACTGGGTTGCAATGCAACTCATGAAAGCGTTGTTTATATAAGGTGATGATACAATGTGCTATCGCTCCACAAGGACACACGCCCACACACCCAATGAAAGAAGTTCCCGGACATGTCAATTGGAGCCTCCGAGAACCATCGGCCCAAATTGACTCACAATCCTTGAATATACCTGAACCTCGTCGGGGGTTGCCAAAGGCCCTTCGGCTTTCAACAAACATCTTCGGGCGTTTATCGACAGGATCCTGAAGGCATTCGAAGGTCCTCTTGCAGCGCGGAGGTGCCATTTAGCTTGTGTGTAGATGCATCTGGCAAGGCAAGTGAACTGCGCCTGCAAGTGCTCTGAGAGTGTTGCGAGCCGTGCCTGAGCTCGCAGAGTTGTTTCAGAGAGGACAAACTCTGGTAGAACCCCGGTGAACACTTTATCACCGATAAGCCGCTTATACACTTGTAAACCCATGGTTCGGGGTTGTGAGAACAAGACCTCACATGTCTGCAGGGCGTTCGAGGAAATCTTGGCAATCATGACCACGACCCATGTAGCGTTGTTGTGACTCGTGCCGCGAAGAACTGGGGTTCCACATGTACCAGGAGCCGAGGGGCCAGAGGTGCCAAACAGGTCCATGGATCTTTGACCCCGGGCCCTTTACTCCCCAGACACTGGTCTTTTGCTCCAGTCCGGACCGGACCCCAAACCGTCAAAGAAAAAGTTCGAGTTGCCAGAAGAACTCACACTCGTCGTTGTTCTTGCATTTGACCTGGCCGGTGCAGGGTGCTTGTATACCAGTAGTTCCTTCCAAGGCTTGCAGGATTACATGAGAGGTCCACAGGTCTCTGTGATCTTGAAGGCGCTAAGCGCATAGTGAGTTGTTTCTCCTGGTAACTTGCCGGAATCTTGAGGCACTGGATGATTTCTGCAGAGGATGCAGGTTTTGACAGCGTCCCTATCACAAGGCAGCCCAACCAGCGGGGGGGGGGGACCTTCCACGGTGCATCATCTCGCAGCTTAGCTCTCACAACATCACTATCAAGATCTTGACCCGTCGAAGCCCACTTACTTCACCAGCCAGCCTCGTAGGCTCTTGAGTCCAGGTGCCCTGAAAGCCCTCGAAGTATCCTGTGAATCCCTCGAAAAAACTAGAGCTTGAAGCCTCGCAGTCGCCAGCTTCCATGGACGTCGTGTCGGTCTCGAAGAGCGGGCTCCCCAAGAGAGAGGAAGGCGAACCTGACAGTCGCTTTTCTCTGGGCTCCGGGGTACCACTGACAACATGGAGGCGCATGCGCGGCTTGGGGCCACAAGAGGCATGCGCGGCCCGCGCCTCTGCGACGCTCTTTTAGAGGGTAGCGCAAACTCATTCGAGAATGAGGCTATGCGCTCTTAGTCTTAGCGGCTCAAGGCTCAGTAGAGGAATCAAGATCGAAGCAAGGTACCGGGAGGCTGCTCTTAAAGAGCTGCAGGTGTTGCCGGCGGCAGCAGTGAAGGCCAGTCACACTCTTGGAGGGCTGGGCGCCCCACACACGAACTCACCCTCCACAATGACCAGAGGCGAGGGCACGAAATTGTCCTCGGCGGCTGATAGCAGCGATCACTCTTGCCGGTCCCAACACCAAGGGCATTGGATGCTTCCCATAAGGGACAGGAAAAGAACCGCCCAATTCCGGAATCCTCGTGTCCTGAGCCCGAGAATCCGAAATCAAGCTGCCATTCCATCGACCTCCGCTCTGTGGCCCCTGGGGCCGCCTAAGACTTCTAAAAACCCATTAGGGTTCTATAGGTCCCCTAGAAGGTTTTAGAAGTGGTATCTTGACCCGCCCGTAAAAAAAACACCGGCAAAAAGGGGAGTTTTGTTGTCCAAGCTTCCGGGGTGTCGGGCGGAAGCTGGGCGTAGACCAAAGGATCCACGGGCGGCTTCTCCCCCCAAGCCTGTGCCGAAAGCAAAGAAAGATGAAAGCCCCAAAGAAGGATTCGAGTGCTCCGTCGTCTTCTCTGCGTAGCTCTTCGTGGCTGGCTGGGGCAGGGCTGCGTAGCTGTCTGGGCATCCCTTCGGGTCTAATGTCGGTGCACCGTTTGAGTTGAACCTAAGACGACAGGGGCGGAACTTGGCATCCACTCAAAAGGCCTTGCAAGGACTAAGGACTTGGGCGCCAGTCCGAGAATCTCGGCCCAAGCAAACAAATTAGAGAGGCCTCAAAGAGCCATGCGACTTTGGGTGCTACTAAGATGCCGATGAGGTTTCAGGCACTTGCTCCCAAGAGGGAGCAAACAAGCCTATTCCCTTGGGGTCTGTAGCATCCTTGTTGCAAATAGTACTACTGTACTACTTGTGTGCCTCACGCTGCAGGTGACTCCCCAAACGCCTCTTTCTTCGGTGGAGCCGCTTTCACATTCACACTCACCCTGTCTAAAGAAGCCTCGACAACTGTCGGAAGCTTTGGCCCCGCTGAGCCTAGTGTGCATTTCGACCTCACGAGTTTACAGCTCCCGTCATGAGTTCAGGAAGCTCCTGAGGCGCGGCATTCAGTGTCAATCTGTTTCTGCGCGCCTTCAAGACGAAGGCGCCAGAAATCCCATCCTATATCCCTGCAATCTTCCGGAACATCAGTGCCAAACATGTCCCACTTGTTTCAATACCCTCAAACTCTCTCCAAGTCTGCAAGGGCATGTAACTGCATGCTTGCGCCAGAAGCCTGCCTTGGGTGCGCAATCCTGGGCAACGCGGGCACTCAAAGCGTCTAGCTAGAATCCAGAGTTTAGGCCTAAGCTGTCAGAACTTCCCGTTTGAAGTTGAAGCGAGTCCCGTTGGATAAGGATCATGCTTTCTTACGCTGTCGCAACTTGGACTCTCGCCCATGTCGAGACAACATAAGCCAATGGCAGATGGCATGAACACGACGTTCAAACATGTGATGGGGTTGAAGGGCGGTTAAGCAGAATTTCAAACGAGGCAGAAAGCCCCACAGACCGTAATGGATGTCAACAGAGCGGCAACACAGCTACTGGTACCATACTACGCTTCCTTCAAAAACTGTCTTTTGATGTCATCAATTCTCCTTGCACCGAGTCGCACAAGGGTGAAGCCAGTAGTCGGCCCCATCCCAAGTGGATGGGTCGTCCAGAATCATTGGCTGGATATCCACATCCTCCTGACCAGCTACCAGCAAGGCTCTTGGACCAAAAAGTAAAGCTCCTCAAGTGCCAACATACTCCATCGCTCAGGAGCTAGGCTATGGGTGGGCGCGCAGAAGGATTGCAGCTGGTCCAGGGCGGGTTTGTTATCGGTCCTTTCCCACAGCATCCGTCCTCTTTGTCCCGGTTGAGGAGCATGATTTGAACTTTAGGGTGATTCCCAAACCTCAAGAACCTTCCAAACCCAAGGAACACCTAAGCACGACGAAACTCACTTGCGTGCGGGTAGTGGTAACTGGTAGTGATGGTCCCAAGCTCCAAGCCTGCCTCGGTAATGTTTGCGGGCTGTCCGCATGGCTGTGCCGAGTAGCCTTGGATTCGGGCCGGGCCTGGCCCCCGAAAGCAACATCGTGACGTGTGGGACCCGCATTCAAGGAACGTCCGTTGCCGAGCCATACATCGACGCCTGAAGGCTACTGAAGCGACATGCTTACGGGCCAGCGTTCATATCTGTCATAACTATATAACTATATCTTGCAGCGTGCTTGCTGCAGCCTTAACAACAACAAGGAACTCATGTTACGGCCACTAGTGAACCTGCAGCGCAACAGTCGGACCCTCTTCACTGAAGGTTGAATGCTGAAGTCATGGCAAGTTGGACTCTGGGTGCACTAGGCCGCTAGACTTCTTTCAATGTCAGCAGAACGATATGAAAGCTTCAGGGGGACGGTCCGTTACTTTGCCGGAATCCTGAGCCCGACTCTCCGGAATCCTGAGCCCAACCCGAGAATCTCAAACACCTTGAGCCCAGGTACCAACGCCGGTCGTTGTGCAGCCGAGCTTTGGCCCAACGAACCTTCGGCTCAACTGGTCGCTTCGTGCCGCCAAGGCTAGGCTGTTGGGCGTTCTTTCTGGGCTTTTGGTCTCGGATAAAAGCACTGCTCCGTCTTGTGCTCGTGGCCTTTACCACTGAGCTTCAAGTCCTTAGCAAAAGTTGCTGTACCCTGCCGCAAGTGGCGCAGCAAGATGCTACATTGCTACATGTGCGGAGCCAAGACACCAAAAGAGTATCAGTGCATGCCCTTGAAAGAAGAATATACTGTTACCATCCGCTACAGTCGCTTTGCGGTGGGTCATGTGGACATCGCCCCTACCCGAAATGCACATAGTTTCGTGAATCGTCTGAGGGATAAAAATGAAAACGCTCCCATCCACCAGCCACAGAACCTTCCTTACTATGATGCATAGATTGACACAGTCAGTGCCCACACCAGCACCACACGACACTGTTGCGGCATGGGTAGCTCGAAGATGCCCTTCTTCAAGTTGCTGTAGTCATCCGGGTGCTTCTCTTGGATCAACCTGAGAGATTGAAGACTTCGGGGTCCCACGGCCGGTCAGACTTGGGACTTTCCAAAAATTAGGGGTACCTTATTGTTCTGGTGTCCTTATAATAAGGATCCTACTAATTAGGGTACCATATCAGGGTCCCCTATTTTCGGACACCCCCACTTGTGCACTGGCAGGTCTCGAGGGTTAACGCGGAGGTCAGGTTGCAAGGCTTGACATCGCGTAACATCGCCACCACCATCTGCAGTCTTCTCGGCAGCCAAAACCAACCGTGATGACAACACGACGACACCTCGCCACAACCAGCATGACCATGACAAGGACCAGAAACGACAACGATCTCGACCCTCCCCTGCCTGCCCCTATTGAGAGAGATCGTCTTAAGGAGCCCCCTTGCCCTTATCCGAACCCGAGCGGCCAGTCGCCATCCAGGCAGCCAGCCACGTCTTCATCGATTCCAGGCTGGCCGGCGGCTTGGCTTCGGGCGCTTACGAAGCAGCGGGAACTGGGAAAAACCGTGGGGCATGTGACGAAAAAGTAGAGAACCTGTACGGTTCCATTGAAATGGAGCTTCGGGTTCTCGGCTGCCACGACAAGGCCCTCATGCCACTTGACTTGGACTTTTAGGCCTCGTGCCCCTGGATTTGGAATGGCAAGCAGTCTGTTGGGGCCCCCCCCGGCGCAGAGTCTGCTTGGAACAAGAACAAGAAGAACGCAGCAGCAAAGAGGCAGCAGGCGGAGGAGGAACTGAGGTTGAGGAGCGGCGAAGGTATAGAAGATGCACGGGTGAGTTGATGAGATCATTTAGGCGGTGCTGATGGCAAGCGCGGTCCTATTCTGCAAAAGCACACAGCAGTCGATCTCTACTCCTTTGAGTCTTAAGGTCTTGTAGATTCGGCAGAACACGTCTGGCCTCGTTCTCACGGGCTATCCTTAGTTGTCGCTGCACTCAACTGCATGGCATGTCTGCTCCGATTGATTCGCTAAAAGCGAGCGGAGCGAACGAACAGCAAAAAGAAAAACAAAACCACACAACACCCCTGACACAACGGTTATGCATATTTTTTCCATCGCAGGCCCAGGAGCCAAACCCCGGCGCGCATGGACGGGTGATCTGCGAGGGCACCGAGGGTTTGTTATGAGAAGGCGCGGTCCCAGGGACTTCAAGGGTTGTTAAGGTCCGACAAAGGAAGCTCTAGAAAGTGTCGTTTTTCCCGTGTGGCATGTAAAAGGTTCGCTAGGATGGGACAGTCCTGTCCCTCTGGCAGGCTACAAAGGTGAAGCAGCGCAATCGAGCACAGATTCCGACAAATCTGGCAACTGGTGAACGATGACTGCACAATCAAATGTTGGCTAGACGGCTAGACTTACCGCCTCATCTCCCAATGTCATGAAAATCCTTTGAACCAGTACTCGCCCCCAGCTCCACTGCACAGGGACAAAGGGCAGCGACTTACGGTTAATGTTGGATTGCTCCAGGGTTCGTCCCTAGCCCATCCTCCGAAAATGGCAAATACTGAGACCAAAACAACACCGCAGCCCAAGGAACCACGGAAGTCTGTTACCACGAAGCGGACATAGCGGGCACGAACAGGGTTGGTGAAAAAGACCTCAGTCGAGGACAAATCGGAACGGACGGGTATACATGGCAGTTCCATGAGAGCTCAACGATCAACCCTAGATTGCTTGGATCCATAAGAGCTGCAAAGCATCCATTAGAGCCTTCCCCGCGTGAAGTCTGAAGCCTGCCCAACCCAATCGGATAGTTGAAGCGGAACGACAAGAAGGCCCCTTAGCACCTTGAAAAGCTTTGCATCAGTCCGTCAGCCACGGGTTCAGACCAGAAACTTCCAAAAGTATGCTGTGCGAGCGAGGAAGCAGCGAAACAGCTCGGGATCTGAAAGTGGTTTGGAATAGTTACAAGGTCTTTCATCTTTCGCTCATTGCATGAGTTTCCATAAGCCCGGTACAAACTCTAGACACCAAGCTGCGCAAGCTCGAGGCGCACTCCAGACCCAACACCGCAATCCCAAAGCTTCACCAAGCATCCCGACATACTCAGGAATACTATTCCATTCTAGCCCCAGACATATGTTATACTGTTATGCACTGATATTCTACACTCACGCCCTCCCCGAAATCCTATACTAATAACTCAGGCATGCGACGTTCACTTGCGTGTTCCTGTCCTTGTTACCTCCTCGGGCACCTGATTTCGAGGCCGGGATCAAAGGCTTAGACTTCCGGATGCTCGGATAAAAAAACGGCCCTGCTGGCCCCTGGTCCAGTCCCACGAGATGGTGCAGACAAAAACAGCGGAAAATAGATGGCTGGCAACAAGCTAGGCACTCGCCACCGGGAGAGTTGGAACGACAGCATACTAACGCTTCCTACGGCCTCCGGAACATTGGAATTGGAATTGGCAATTGGGTGTTGTGCGGTGGTTGAGTTAGGTAAGATGATCTTTTTCCCACAGAAGGCCGCAACTCAAAGCAAAAACAAAGAAATGCCGGTGGAAATGTTACAGGCGTGACCACAAGCATAAGAGCCTCCACCACACAAAGACGCGACATAAGGAGATGACGACACTTCGGCATGACCCAAAACACTTCTTCTGCTAACGGACTTCAAACCTGACTTCCCCGACAAAGGGTCAAAATCGAACCTCGCCTACTTGTTTTTGCCAGCATCCTAGACCTCGATTTCAAAAAATGACGGGCCAGCCACTACCATACGAGGGCAAACTGCACAACCACCAACAACAGAACCTATTTGGTGCCCATCCCAGTGAATGTCAGGTTCTGCCCAACATGAGATTCCTAATCCTCATGAAATCCCACCAAGCGCGCCTCTCCGCTAAAGTCCCGTAACTTTTGTAAAGCCTCAAGCAGCCCAGCGGCCTGCTGGCTCCTTCAAGCCCGCAATGGTCTCTCCTCAGACTCGAGCTTTCAGCTGAAATACGCATCGATTCTAGGTCATTGCAGCATTCCGGTTTTGGCCTTTGGAAGCCTGCGGGTCAGAAATTGTGCGGGATCATGATGCATAAGCCCATGTCATTACCACCTCCAGGCTACAAGAAACCGGATTGTTCTGTGGAAGGTTATCGCTCTGCTTTTGAGCGTCCGTTCTCTCTTCCGAGCCTCACTACGGCGAAGATGTGTCATGTGTCTCGCGGAAATCTCGGGCCAATCGGCCATCCACTTCCACAAGAAGCCAGGGTATCCATGCAACGCCATCGTTTCAGCAAGTGCTTTTTGGGAGCTCAGCTACAACTTGAGGTAGAAGGAACCTTGTGATTCTGCTGCTTGCTACTTGCTGTGAGTCTGAAGACTTTTTTGAAGCAGGGCTCTACAAGGACTGACTGTCATAAAGGCTGCCGCGTTCATCTTGAACCCTTCTAGTGAAGCCCAGCAAAACTGTAGGGTCGCTGTTTCCGCGCCATCAGGGAAGCCTCTCTTTGTGCCAAAGAGCCAGTCTGGACAATCCAGTGCCTGACCTGAGAGACTCAGAGGGGACAAAACGGCTTGGAACGAGGATGCCTCTCTCCAGACTCCAGACGACCGGCGTCTCGAAAGCGCTTGTGAGCAGCGACTGTCTGTCATCTCAATCTTCACCATATCAGCAAAAACATCATCATCATCGTCATCATCATCATCATCATCATCGCCTTCTGTCTTCTTTTTCAATCTGAGCTGGTCAGAGAAGTGCTTCACACAAACACAATACGAAGGTCCAACAAGGATGCCAGTTACAGGATGGCGACTCTGATTCCTGCGATCCCAGTAACTTTTCAAAGTATCGATGTTTGACCAGGCTAGGAAGGTCCAAAACGGAAGCTTCGAAGGCGGCTCAAAACTCAAACCCTCGTGATGGACTCTTATGACACGTCGCCCTCGTGGGGGATCGAAACGACGTTGCCACGCAAAAGGCAGCCATGTAATGCAGTGGGTCACACTTCTGGGTCACAGCAGACCTAAACTGCAAGGTCCTAGAGTCCTACTGGTATTTCCGGCAAAACGCTGCACAGTTTCGCCGGCGGGGCTGCATGAGAAAGCGTGACGAATACCTGTACAAGGTCGTATCAGTAACGGGGCATCGCAAGCATCCAGCACACGTTTGGGGATATGAGGCAATCGAAACCTTAAGCCCATTGAACCTACACGGGCAATAGCAACACGAGATTCTCAAGGCAGGCCAGGCACCCACTGATTATGATTCGCGCGGCCTTTCGTTGCAACACCTTGCATTGCTTGCATGGTCGATGGGGCTGTTGGGCAGTCTCCCGTCGCAAGGCATTCATTCTTGGAACTCAGGACTGTCTTGTGGCAAATACCCCGCCCTAACGACGAAGAAGTGAACTGACTCAGTTGACGAACACCCACGCAAAGAGCTGTGAGAACACATCAACTTTAGAGTAAGGCACCATGACACCAACATGTGGGTAGTTGTCAAAATTAGGGTCCCTTTTGGGGTACCCTAAATAATAGGTGCCGTATTATAATAAGGACCCAAAAAGGGACCATAATTTTGACAACCACCCATGTTCACAAGTCACGACGCAAGGCAACATTGTAGCCAGTCCGGGCGGTTGATCTTGGAAATGTCTTGAACTACCGACCGTTGGCCATCTTTGCTGAGGACTGCTAGGTCTTATTGAGGCCTGGTTTTGCGGATCTTCCTGTCCACGAACCTGCAACAAGGCAAGGTTACCTTGCCCGCCGCCCCAGTCTGAGCGCGCTTCTGGTTCCGAAGGTCTTGGAAAGCTCATTCACACATTGATGGGCCAATTTCTGCATGCCCACGGAGAATGTACTGGGCAAGGGTGAAGGAGGGGGTTCAGCATTTTCTATGAAGCTTGAGCCGGAAATTACATAGGGGGATCCCTCCAAAGTCTAGGGCGTGCTTGGTTCATGGATTTTCGGGTCACCCACCGTGAGAAGCCCCGCTTCTTTGAATATCCGCCTGTAGCTAGGGGTCCACACTTTTACTCACAATCTTGGTGAAACAGCATCGGTATCTACGAAGTTGCAGACATCCTACGAAACTTTGCGCCTGCCACGAGCATGACCTCCTTGAGGTCGATAGTCATGTACTCATGCTTTCCTCAGTTCTGCGTAGGGCAGGAGGGCAGAAGATTGACACCGCCACACAAAGCACACGCCAATGCCACCTGAACAGTCTAGGAGGCTAGCTACACGTGATTGGATTGGTAAAGGATCAGGGGCCTTGAAAGGAGCTGCTGACTGTATTTTTGAAGAGGTGGAGTCTGATTCTCGTCAGGTGCACAGGGTTCGCGTTTTCCCTCGCTACCGGCTTCGATCCCCCAGTTGACGTACCCCCCGCGTGTTTCTGAATTGAAATCCCCGACTGAAGCGAGTCCAGTGATCCTGATCCGGAAGCCAGCCTCTTCGCGATTGCTACGATTCCAAGAATACCAGTGCAACATGACGTGTCCCAGTGTCTCCTGGCGTCTCCGAGTAACCAGAACCCATCACTGGACCTCGCAATGTGATCCTGACTTGATGACAGTTACCTGCGACTTCCGCTGACCCCGAATACCACCCTTCAACATCTGTTGTCTGCACTCTAACGCACCGCGCAACGCGGCCGGGCCAAACTGCAAAAAATGCACGGCACCCTCAACACAGTGACGCCTTATGGTGGTTACTGTGCTTTTGTTACTTTTCTTCCCTGGTCGTCCCTGCTTGTACCACGTTACGACGTTGAGCGCAGTGTCAAAGAACACGATAACCCTGAAGCCCTTCTTCAGCTCTACTCAGACTGAATTCAAGCCGGCCTGAAAGATGAAATCAAAGGCTCGCTTGTGCTTTGCAGCCCAGCATAGCGGACTTGAAAGCTTTGATCGACCATAGCCTCAGAAGGCTTGTCATGGGACTCCAGGAAGCGTGACGAAGGGCCTTCGGGTTGATGGCGGTTTGGTTTTGCGCCTGGCCGAGGCTCGACATACAAGGACGTGCGGGACTCAGGCTACATGGATCTTTATCCTACGAGCACGTAAGGGTCTCCCAGTCTCCGCTAAATGGAATCATGGATGGGGGGGATAAGATGTCGAAGAGACGGGGTTGGTGTTTTTCCGCGCCACACGGGCCACACGGGTTTCGTGCTTGAAGTTGGGGCGTGGGCTTAGTCACCGAAGCTCCGACGGCAAGATTGTCGCTCAGCGCCTAGCAGCAGCTCGAAGTCTCCTGACCAAAAGCCCAACCTGGCCCAACCTTGTGAATCTCAGGTTGCAGCCGTGTCCAGGTGTCCAGCCGCCTGTGGGATTGACGCGCAGCCGGGCGTGAGCATGTAGGACTAAAGGCTTAAAGGGGTACCAGGGGCTCGTGGGGAAAAGCTCCTGACAAAACAGCCATGAACACGGGAAATACTCTGCAAGTATCAGCTGTCTTGAAACAGATGGCAAGGGATTTATGCGCTGAGTACAATACTCAATTGAGCTCGTCAGCTTCACTCAGACTGGCCCAGACTGCATATGCTGTGTCATGCTCTGCCCCAAACAATGCAACAAGGCACTGTGTAGTGCTGCTGGTGGGCTCGGGCTGTGTTGATCATTTGCTCAACCAGAAACGACTCTCCTGTTCTGTTTGGAAATTAAGCGACCACCTTATCCCTCTATCTTGCTCCCTCATGCACAAGCACTACAAGTAGCAAAGGGCTTGGAACTCTGAAACTACATGTGCAAGCACTTCGACAGTCTCAGATTCTCACAGCTGCAAGTCGTTTTTCCCACTTGGATCCGCCCCAGAAAAAACCCTCGGGCCCAAGTGTCTGTCCGCCTTGGCCTTGACTCTCAAATCCAGTTGGGAAGGAGAGTTCTCATTGCAAGAGTTCGCGTGACGGAAGCTGATTCTACCTGCACAAACCTCCCTCTCGCTATCTGTAGCCGAGCTGCCGTGGATGGAACTGTACGTACGATGATGCTCAGGTGGATCGATGAGCTTCGCGCTGCCCTGTGGCGTGCTTGCCGAGCTCGCGTTGGGAGTGTATCGGCGAAACACATTCGGCTTCATCTGAGAGTCTCTGTTGGGGAAACATACGCCAAGTGGGACTCCGGACGGTTTGTTGTTTGCAGATTGCGCTTCTTGGGTTTCAGGGTGCTCTCGACGAGGTTAGAACAGCTGGTCGCCGGGGGCCCTACACGAGTGCAAAGTGGACAACGCTCTCCAATCTAGAAACTCCCGAAACCGGACTTCCCGAAACACCAACCTTTTGGAATCTCTGGCCTTGTACTTGCGCAAGTAGAGCGTCTCCCGAGCACTCTGGCCCTCCTGCGAGGATCTTTGCGGTTGGGGCATGCTCTTCATGGGCGTGCTGGAGGTGCCCAAACAACGAAGGTGCAGAGTTCGCATTTTCGGCCGTTGCCAGAGGTTTTGGCTTGCGCCCGCGGTTGGCCTCTAGTTTTGACTGGCACGGCTCCGCACTACACGTGAGGTCATCGGTTGATGTATGCGGTTGAGCACAGTGAGCTGATGCCAGGCCTGCCATGATCTTTCCAGTGGAGTTCTGCACAAAAAGCCGGCGGTCCGGCTGGAACCCACAACAGTCGGTTCCTCTTTCAAGGTTTCCGGGACAGGGAGTCAACTTCACGTTTGAGACGAATCAAACCTCGTCCCCGGAACAGAGCAAATTTTAGCAGCTTCTTTCTGTCCCTACTCCCCAGGCTTGGAACCTTAAGCCATGACCCGTAACTGTTTAACATCCGTGCCCAACAAAAGTCTGTGAGCCTTCAGGTACACCATTCCGCTGCGATCTGTGTCGTAACCCACTGGGCAGTAGGTTCCTATCATGGCGGCGGGACGGAGAGTTAGTATAGGCTCCGCATACTTATGATCAATGGCTTCGGGAATCCACGACCAAAGTCTGGGGACCGTAACTCGTTGCCTTTCAAGAATTCCCCGTGCTCGGCGAGGCTTTGGTGTCACGAGGCTTGGGCTCGGGTCTGAGCGCAGTCTATGGGAAATTCTCGGATTTCGAATATGCTGGAGCTAGTCCGGAGAGCATGATCCATAGCGTCATAAACTAGATCGCCCAGTACGCTTGCAGTATGATGGCAGGGACAGGTCTGAACCGGATTCTTGTTGTAGAGACTCGCTTCATCTGGGCCAAGAGAAATAAGTGCTGCACTTCTCTTGAGCCCCATGATCTGGTTTTATCAGCCCTAAACCTACACGACCGAAACGCAGTTCGCTGCAAATCTTGCTGGAGCGTCACAGATCTCCTGCCTCTGACAATGAACTCCTCAACACCCATGTATATGAAACTGCGCTTGAGGGTAGACATCAAACTTAATTACGACGAATCCCCAGACATGAAGCTGGACTTGCTAACAACCACTCGCAGCATGACAAGACCACTGCGTCCAAGCGGAAAACCAGGCCGTGATACACTACCACGGCACCTTGGCATCTTAGGGCGGGGGCAGCTTGACATTCACTGAAGTATGGCGCCTCTGTGCAGCCATTTGGGAGCTTTCACCTGATGCAAGCTGGGATAACGGCCATCATATGAGTACGGTCAGAAGAGCAGATGTTGGGTTGGGTGTGTCTTCGCACTCGACGTGTGACGACTGCGGCTACAAAGTATAGTATAGTGGAGGACAACACAAGACTAGGTGGAAATGGCTGCAGAGAGGACCCTCGGCATCCATGGACGGCCGACTGCCGTCAAGTCACATTCACGCACGTGCTGCTTGGGTCACAATCCTCGGGCTCAGGCACCGTTTGCAGGAGCAGTTGGCCTAGTCACACTACTAAGGACACTAAGGCAAGACTGAAATTGTAGAAACATATCGGCGGGGCACTTTTGCTTCTCTGATAGAAAAACTGATGAAGTAATGAGTTTTTGTGTAACAGCGAATGGGAACAACGAGCACAAAACCGGTGATCATCGCAACTATTCTTAATTAGCGTGTGCTGACGAAGTCGACCAAGACCACAACTACTGCGATGACAGGGACCTGGCAGGGCCCTACTCCTACAACCACCACGACCAGCTTGTCGGAAGGTTCGTTGTACACGATCCATAACTAAAAGGGATTCAAAGCTTATTGCTCAACATGAGCATTTCGGTTCGAGAACCCTGGTTTATGTAGCAAATGTGCTTCATAATTAAGGTTGCAAGCAAGCATGTCCGCCCTCGAAATGCGATTTTTTGAAAAGTTGTGCGTGCGAGGAACCACTGGAATCTCAGCCAAGTGCACATCTGAATGCCGAATGCCAGCAACATCTGCACTAGACAGCTGGAGAATCTCGTGTTGCCTGCGCAATCAACCCGCGGCCCCAACAGCAAACTTCTCGCAAGCTTGGACCGACTTCATCCGGCGCGAGAATCCGGGATCTTGGTCCACACCGAGTGGTGATGCGCTTGGGTGCCGCCAAGCGGAGAGAAATGGCAATCCTGGGCAGATCTCAAGGTTGCACAACAAGACCGCTCCAGTCGAAACTCCCATCAGCCCAAGACCACATGATTAGCTGATGACAACTCTCTCTGACAGAAGCCTCGGCCTTTTGTAGAATGGACCGAAAGAGAGAAGCTAAGGACATCTGCCATATCATTACTCGGTCAAAGCCGGAGCCCCAAAGGAAACCAGGACTGCGCCAGAACTCCGGGTCCAAGCTTAACCCATGTACTCCACCCCATGCATCCACCATAAGCCCTAAACCCCAAACCCTAAACCCTAAACCCTAAACCCCAAACCCTAAACCCTAAAACCCAGACAAGATCTTTATTCTGCCGCCCGGGCGCTTTGTTATGAAAGCGGTAGGCCGAGCATCTCGGCTCGCGCCTGCGATCGGCAAAGCAAAATGGGGGAGCCTAGAAATACTACCCTAAATATATGATGAGATCCAGTCCAACTTAGCACAGCTTTCGCAGCAGTTTCTACAAATCTCCTGCTCTGTTCTGAGGTATAGTCCATCGTGGGCACGCAGAAGCTGTCGGGAGCTTAGACCAAACAAACACGATTCCACACAAAACCGCAGCACTGCAGCACGACTTCAAACAGCCGCGCGCATTCGCAGGGTACCTCACAATCCTATTCACATTTTGCTGTGCCCAACCCTGAGCCCCAAACCCGGCAGTCCTGCAGGAGTACTGGCACTCTGCCTCATTGGCCTTCCTGCTCTTCTCGCCCTGTGTCTTGATTGTCTCCTGCAAGATTGATGCACTTCAGTAGTCGCGGGACGGTCGACTCACGCAGAAAAGGATTGAATTTCCAGCTTTGCTTCGCAAGAGTCGGGCAAGTCAAGCATTGGAAAGAAGAGAAGCACGAACGTCTGATATGGCATGAACTCACAGCTGCCAACACCGCAAACAGCCTACGCTCAAACTTAGACTTAGAAATGCGTAATTCCACGTGCTGTACGAAAACCCGAGACTTCTACTGAGTCAAGTCGTGGCTGTTGGTTTCAACACTTGGGGCTCTCGAAGATTTGAAGCAGTTCCTGTGCGCTGCACCGTCAAGCTTCGTAAGGCTACATCATGGCAGCAACATCAACAAAGCGCCTCTTGCGAAAGCCTGACTCCTTCCTTGGGAGAAGAAAAGCCGCAAGAACCCTGGGTCTTTCAAGACAGGAGAAGCTCCTGGGAGGTTCAACCTGTTTCAAGCCTCCAAGCCTCAAGAATTCCGAGATAATGCCTTGGCGAAGTTCTGGACTAGCAGATCGCCAACACAGACAACATCGGCTGAGACGGTGAATGAGGATGACAGCACAAGAGCATACGGCAGGGCAACGGTTCAGGACTAAAGGACCGTCCTTTTGGGATGTTCGATGCGAAGGAGCTCCACTTTTGTGGGGAAGTCAGTTCGCAGTGTCGAGGGAAGGCCATTTGGAACTGACAGAGAAGCGACCTATACCCTCAGGCGCAGACGAGAAGTTCCCCTCACGCCTGGCCCCCAAACAGTAAACTTCTAGCTGCGACTTGGCTGTCTTCCAGAAGAATATACTCTCCACACCAATGCCAACGCTTGAACCTTTGATCATCCCTACACAAGCTTCATGTAAGCCGATGATCATTGAAAATGAGCCCTAGCCTCCCAAAAAACAACCCTGCACTTGGGTAGTTGTCAAAATTATGGTCCCTTTTGGGGTAAGCTAAACCATAGGTGCCGTATTATAATAAGGACCCAAAAAGGGACCATAATTTTGACAACCCTCCGCACTTTTCTGATCGTCCTTTTGCCAGCAAGTATTGTCGACCACAACGATCCGCATCTGGGTTGCAATCGGATCGAAGTCCTCGGCTTCCCGATCCTACAGAAGGGCCCTGATTCTACGGGCTTTCGGAGGGACCCTTATAGGGACCCTTGTAGGTCATTGGGGTTAATATGGAGACTACCTGGCTATATAAGGCCCTGATGCATGGTGAAGCCTTGTTGACCCTAAGTGGCCTCAACTCCTCTCTGGGTGGGGATTTTTGTCTATCAATGATTATGCGGTATGCAGCAGGAATGGAGGAAAAACCTGGGGCGCATCCATTGGGATGGGTTTTTTACCCAGAGATGAGATACGTCGTCTGCTGCAGAAAAAGCATTCCCAGCAGTCCGAAAAAGCGCTCCTCCATGTTACTACTAGTCTCAACCATGTCCGGTTTCCGCGTTGGCGTTGCAATGCTCCCCAGATCATATCACGTTCCCGAGCATCCTACTTGCCCCAAAGGTCGAAGACTTCTCTACACAAGGCCACTGCACGAAACTAGGCAGGAGGATATGTGGTCTCATCGTCTCTCCTTCGCTTATTACGAGGTCGGCACGGTACTCGCAGGATGTTTTGGTACAGCTGAGTACCAAAGCATCTTGGAGCAACGCCCATCAGAACTGCCTTCTGCCTAGACTCGACCCCTTTGTAGACACTGGAACCCTTCACTCTCTCGATATGCGGAGCTGCAGAGAAATGCTCTCTGCACTTGTGACTCCAGTGTACGGAGGTGAAGAAGCGAGGAACCTTGACAAACATATTCTGATAACGAGCAAAAGGATCGAACCGTGCAGCACAGTCCCGAAACACTCTGAAATCACATGCAAATGCACAAGTAGCATTAGCATCTAAATCAATGCCACATGACCTCAAACCCCCAGTAATTTTTCGAATGATTTCCAATAAAGCTCCTATACAAAGCCCAGCCAAACCCCAGCCCCCCCCCCCCCACCCCCACCCCCCGATCTCTCGAGCTTCGAAATCTGAGAAAAGTCCCACGATGCGGCACTTCAGCTCAATGAAGATGGCGTCGGGTCCGTTCCCGCGCTTCGGGAGGAAGACGCGAGACTTGGATTCGCGAGGCTGTCGGAAGCTAAGCAACATCATCCTTGTCTTTTGTCGGTGGGGGCTTCTGCACTCTTGTCATGATCCCGTCCTGTCAATTTTGCACTGAATGCGCTGAAGTTTGCGAGGAAGCTGCAGTTGGAAGGTCAGAGTCACAACCCGCCCAGCTCAGAGCTTCGCTTGATGCGTAGTGAAGGAGAGGTGGCAAATTGAGCCCTCATAGATACGTACATGCAAGTCGAAATGCATAGCGACCTTCATCTCCCAACAGTCAGTGGCAACAACTCCAAAACCCTCTCCACAATGCTAGCAGAATGCTCGATTGCTGAAGCGTCCAAACCTGTTCTCTGTGCTGCCGCGAATGCAAAGGACGGTCCGACGTTGAGGCTCAGCTGCCCATTGGACTGAAGCTCCTCAAACACTACACACGAAAAAAAACCCTTAACACCATCCTTCCGGATCGGACCCCTGCATCAGGACACGTGTCAGGTTCGGGCCTCTTTAGTGCCCTGTCTTGCGTGTTGATGTTCTTGCTGCTGCTGTTGTAGTTTGTCGTTGTCATCGCTTTTGCTGTTGTTGTTCCTAGTCAAATTTGTTGTCGCTTGCATGCTACGAGGCAACCGTAAGCAGGGATGCGAGTTCACGGGTTAGTTCGCGGGGTGCCACGCTGCTAGCAGCAGTGGGTTCTTTTGCGCATCAGACCCAAATTCCAGGTTCGGGGTTTGTAGTTTCGGGAGTTAAGCGAAGTCCCCTGTGTAGCAAGACTGTGGCTTTGAGTCTGCTTGTTGTGGCTCTGAGTCGCTCTTCCCTGGTGTTGGATTTCTGGCTGGGCTCAGGGTCGAGCTTGTCCCCCAGGTCCCAGCCCTTGCATCCCCTTGCCGCGGTCCAGCAAAGGGTGGCCGTCGTAGTAGCCCACACCATGCACAATGTCGAACTTGAACTCACCCTGCCAGGTGAATCAAATGAAGGCGGGAGGAGGCTGATTTTTGGAGATAACATTTCTGGCAGTTGAGCTGTGGGCTTCAACAATGTGCCCAAAGACACCCCTTCTTGCTGGCTTGGCGGGATGCTCGGGTTCCGTAGGCTGTGAGGCGGACAGTCGGCTCTACATTCACTGGGGGCCCCCTCGCCCATGCTTCCCCCACACACCGCGCTGTCGCCTGCCTTGTTGCAAGCCATGTCGTACTTGGTGGGCGTCATGACGCCTGTGCCAGCCGGGCTGGAAGTCTGAAAGGGCCAAGGTTGGGCAACTTTGGGCGCTACAGCCGACCCTTGCGCCTGGACTCCCAACAAGGATGACGGCCCGACAACATCCCTAAACCCTAAACCCTAAACCCTATGCTACAGCCGGCGGCCGGGAGCAAAGCATTCCTGCTGCGCCGACCAAGAACCTAAACCCAGTGACAGTGCCACGCACCGAGGACCAAGATGGAGGCGAGGATTTGGCGTTGCTACTCAAGACGCAGGGAGCAACAACCCTGTGCTGAGACACAGATCCGATGGAGCTTAAGCTACGAGGTCTAAATCCTAAAGCTGGACTCTCATGTGACACCTAATTCCTGTGCTCGGATTTACTACCCCCCCCTCCCCCCCCCCCAAGCGAAGGCAGTTGACATCTGCAGTTAAAGGCTCGTGGCTCCATCCGGGCGCGGCTCCGACAGTACAGAATGTGTTGAAGCTGTCAGTGCCAGATGTGCAGGATCTTCATTTCGGTTTATACGCTTCGGAACATGGTATGTTAAGTCTGACGGTAGATGCAAAAGGCATGGGTACCTGCACACTGTGCAGGAATTGACACAGTCTCGTAGCAGTTTCTGAGATGTAGAGACTTGGAAGCTGAGAACAGAACACTTTAGATGCATGAAACGCCCGAACATCCACCGTCTCTTGTACAGTCTAGTTGTCCCTGGCTCCGTTCACTGCATAACTTGTAGGGGAGCCCGCATCCTGTCTACAATCTGCCGAGGGGCCATCGGCAAAGTCCACTGGCAGCAGCGGTGGAACCACTTGCCCGATGGAGCCTCCCGTTCAAAGTTCCAAGCACGGGCAGAACGTCGAGCCCCTGATGCCTTCTTATGGTTCTGCGCCGAAACCAAGCTCGCTGAACCCTGTGTGCAGGAAGGCTCCCCCCCCACTTCTAGATTGAAATTGCTCGAGATGTAGTTTGGCAAACCTCGAACCCACCATGGCGCTGCCGGGCACAGTGCCAGTTTCAAGTTGCCCTCGGGTTTCAAGTTGCCCTCGGCTACGACCAACTGTGTCCAGAAGTGAATGCAAGTCTGGCAAGTCTCATTCACCCCTGTCAAGAAATAGCCAAGAACCAATGCGACAACCACCAACTCAAACATCGCGAGCATTGGCAGCTATTGCACCACCACTACCGCCGCCATCATCACAAACAAGGTGACGACTTCCAGGACAACGGATGGCGCCAAGAGCGCTACTTCTGCAAGTGCGAGAACTGTTCGCAAAGTACGCGTATGTAAAAGTTACCATGAACCTTTTTCGCCTGAAGCACACCTGGACTGCCTTCTTGACCCAGATCGTCGCAGGAGCCAGGACAAGCTTCCTTCTGAGTGCTAATCTCTGCTTGGAATCCATGCCGTACCAAATTTGTACCAACCTAGACCTAACCCCAATTTCTCCGACCGAAAGCAGGCACCTGCAAGAACTATGGCAAGGCCATTGATCTGCAAGTGTATACACATCCTACATGTGTGTCGATGCACCTGGCAAGTTCAGAGCGGCTACACTTTCCAATGCCATGCCACAGCCTTAATGCGAAAATCACCAAACGTCCGAACTCGACAAGCCTGCCCCCCCCCCCCCGAGCAAATCCTAGGTCCTAAGGTCCTAAGCCCTGAGCCCTGAAGACCAAAAAGGCCCAAACTTGACGAAGCCCTGACTAGGCTTAAAACGCTGATAATGAATACATAGATGCCTGTACGATAACAAAGCAGATAGACAGGCTTTTGACCCTAAAGCCCTCGACGTCGCAACCCCCAAAAGAACCAAGTTCTACTACAACGGTATAGATGTCATACTATAAATATAAAATTCAACATTAGCACCCCTTCTGCCTATAAAAAAAGCCCGAAAGAGCCACCCGAAATATGTTTTTTTTGTAATAAGGAACCCCCAAAATACCATAGATACTATATGTTTTTGGTTTTTTGGGGGCCTTGCAGTCGATTGCTTCGGTATCGAAGCTCCGAGGCCGCCTTGGGCTTCACGATCACCACCTGGGAGTTTCAAAAAATTGGGGGTACCTTATTTTGGGGTCCTTATAATAGGGATCCTATTATTTAGGGTACTATATTAGGGTTCCATATTTTCGGAAACCCCCACCTGACTGCGAGGCGTAGGGAGGCAGGGCCCTTTTTTTGTCCTTATACGATGGGTCCCTGTATCGTATATGAACCTGAAGCTCTTGTGGGGTTCATATACCCTATAGGGCCTGACTAGGGTTTCGGGCTCCTTTATAGCACCCATCTTTGTAATGAGGAGCCCTTACAGTAGTAATATTGGTAATTATTTAGGCTTTCTATATTGCTGCGAGGCGCCTGCCTTTTTTGGTGTTTTTGAGGGCCCCGGATAGGTGCTTCTGGGGTTCTGGGGGTTTTAGGATTGTTAGGGTTCTTCGACGGTTTCGAAGGTCTAGGTCTATGTGATTTTGTGAGGATTCGGGCTGCCCCGAAAGATTTGGATAGGAGATGCGATGGCTTTCTCGGAACAGCGGGGGCCCGCGACGAAACGGTCAGGCGTGGGGTTTGGGTCTTGACCTTGCCGCTATCATTGCGACGCCTCTGAGAGCCTCACGGAAATGGCTGGTCTAGTCTTATCGCCGTGACGGAGGAACCCACCCACGGTCCGAGACACACCCACACGGACAGGGGGATTCCTTGATTCAAACGGGGCAGAGCGCATGACTTTTTGGCCTTGGCAGCTTCGATTTCTGCGTGAACGGTGGTAGATTCCGGGGAATCGGATTTGGGTGTCCGGGTTTCCGGTAAGGCCATACAATACAAGCTTTAGGTGTCTGGGTGGTGCAAGGCCAGAGATTTGGATCAGACATTGCTTGTGCTCTGAGATCTACCACAGGGGTCGTAGGGAGCCCTCTTTGAGCCTCCGCATCTAGGAAGCCGTGCGACGCAATGGAAAGCCCTGCAAGTGTGCCCTGCTGGAATGATTCAAACGATAATTCTTTGACACTCGCAGCTCCACGTGACAGGCGATACAAACTGGGGTGTAAAGTCTTGGGGTTTGGAGGCTTAGGGCTAGGATCCAAACCCTCCTCTGCCCAGCTACGCTCTTGGACGTCTTTGTCCACTCCGTGGCCCCTTGCAGTTTCCTCGGGCTCCGTGCTTCCAAGCTCTAAGGAAAGTCATGCAGAGTCTTGGGGCTCCGGGTCTCGCGGAAACCCTTAGGCCTTAGACTTAAATGACCCATAACTGCATTTTAACTGCAAAGAATCGCAGTCCGGACTGTCGTAGTCAAGGTCCTGAGCCTCTGTGAGCAGGTTGTCATGGACTGTGTTGAAGATGTCTTCAAAGAGACCATGCCACACTCACAGGCTCGAAGACACAAAATCTGGTATACTGATCCGAAATGAACCTGTAAGCCTCCTTGCTGGACGGGGCGGTGGGGGATCCTCGCAGATCACAGCAATGGCACTTCTGAAATTGACCAAGTCTCGTGTTAGCTGAGATCTGGCACACCGTTCCCAGCTGACCGCTGTAAGTATCCTGCGGCGGCTTTGGGCTTCTTCCCTCCAGCGAGACCATTAACCCTACCTTTATACAGTTCAATAGAGTTTTAGGGAAGACCTTGCGATTTGGCGTCGCTTTGGTTTCTCTGTTTGGGTCATACTCCCGGCGCCTAAGTACCTCTCACAGCCAACAAATTTTAACGGCAGGCCTCAATGCACATGCTTGCAAAGCGCTGCGCTCTCCAATTTAGGTACCGATGCCACTCAGGCTTACATGCGAGTTACTCAAACAGTCCGGAGATCGTCCCTGGCAAGGACCCGCCCCGTGATTTTGATGTATATGATGCACGCCTATCCGCAGGGTCTGAGCCCCACCCACGCAGCCCACACATGATGACGCGCAGCTATGGAAGCACTTCCTATGACAATACCAATATGAAACGCAAACTCCTCATGTCTAAACAAGGTGGCCGCAACGCTTTGTTTAACAAACTCACCTTCAATCCAACATCCACATGGTAAATCTATGTTGAGCACCATATTCTACGAACTCACGTAAACATGAGGCAGAGCCCTTTAGCCAGCTGGCCTTGACGTTGTCGACAAGACCATTCTCCGCGCCGGCTTTCAGCTGAAAGCGATGACTGGCAGGGCAGAAAGTCGGGAAACCCGCTTCCCCTGGGAAATGGATGCCCCACGTCCCACCCACATCCATTCCTAAGCGTGGGTAGGACTTGGCAGTTGTTGAGCATGCCCAGCATCAATTGGAGATTTTGAATACATTGCAACAACACCTGCTTCAACAGCCAAAGACAAGCTATGCTGCTCGCATTGAAACTACGGACTTCGAGGCGGTCCTGATGTTAACCACCACAAGAAACCCACATCTTGGGTTTAGAAGTCTGCTCCAAACTCGTTCAGATGTGCATGGTCCGTTTATGGTGACCGTGGATGCATCTAATGCACATACATCCATCATCATCACACACACACACACATAAGCACAGGCATAAACGCCAGGAGCGGCCCGAAGAACATCACAGCAAGCCCTACGTGCCACGAGCAAAATCCACCTGACATGTCGCCAAAACGTCCTATGCACCTCATGGCCAAGGGAAGCCTGGAAGGGTTGAACCGTCCGGCACCGATAAACATGCTTATATTGATATGTAAAAGTATATATATACACATACGCACACACATATCTATATATCTATAGATCTATAGATCTATATACATAGATTATATATGGAAGAGACATGCGCATCTGGCCTTTCGAACTTGAGCCAGGGGGTCTGGGGCGCGCAGCTCACTTTGATGTCCTCCGGCTCGAGCTTGGGGCTTTCCCGGGGAGTTGGAGCCCTCAAACCCTAAAACCCTAAAACCCTAAAGTCCTTCGCAGGGAGTCTTTAGGGTGTCATAAAGGAACAGCACACAGTAATTTCGCCCTCCAGAACGGCCGACTTATCGATCTCACATCCTCGAGTTCATCTTTGGAGGTTGCCCAGTCTCTAGAATGAATATTCGCCACGCACGAACGTGCCATTCCTTTCTTCTGCTGTTTGCATCCTGGACCTAACGGGTTCGAAGGATGATCTCGTTTGGCTGCTGCCTCAAGTCTCTGGCTTCACAGCCAACCTGCAGATACAAGCTCTGCTCTATTCTAGGCGCCAATGCCCTCAACAGAGTCTGATGTCTTTCTGAAATCCTCACTTGGCAACTGTCAACTATGCCAACCAAGTTACTACGCAGCTCCCAGTCCAAATGGACCGACATGCAACCTACTCAAGGGAGTCCCATATGGGCTCAACTTGTGGATAGCAAAGTGTACGGCAAAACGCTTAAGGAGTTGAGTAGATAACTCGTCCTTCCCGGCGACCCTCCCAAATCGCCCAATGCTACACCGATTCTACATCCGACCAAATCGCGCATGGTATTTTGGTTGCCTGAACCTGCAAGCCGCAAAATGAAAACCCCGACACTCCCCAAACCCTGGAGTCACACAAGGCCTTCGCCGCCGCATGATGCGGCACGGCCATTGGGAAGCTTGTCTTATGCTTTGAAAACCTTCGCAGCAGTTTCATTCAGGGATTGTGGAGAGCTGTGCAGGTCCTTGCGGGCACCGAAAATCGGGGAATCGTATTCGATACCGGCTTTTTGATAGTTGGTTGAATACAGATGGAAGCTCCTTCGGCTCGGTGACCTGGAAGTCGGACCCCGGAGACTCTAGACGAAGTCCTACAAGCTCTGAAACCTCAAATGCTGCCGCAATTGGCTCTGCTTCTTCTTCTTCTTCTCCACCCTCCACTTCTTCGCAGCGTGAGCCAAGGAGCACCAGCACCGGGGAACGAAAAGTGAGCTCGCTGGATTCCACGGTCACATCAGCCTTGGATTCTAGGTAGGCGCTTTGAGCATCTTTCAGCAGTGTGTGCCTTCGAAGGGCAATCTGTGTGGAGACCGAAATTCAAAGTGGGGCGCTGAGTGGAGTTCCATGCTTCAAGGGCTTCAGAGAGAGCCGATACCTTCGGAGATCACGAGTTCTCACTCCCAGCTTACTAATCAGACAAAACGAAGCCAGCTCAGCCAAACGATCCCAAGACTTTTGAAGCTAGTCCGAGGAAAGACGGCCAATGCTTCAGGTTTGACTCCACTTGGCTCAAGGGCCGCTAGAGGGCCAAATGATTCGGTTGCAAATGTAGGTCGTAAGATGGTTGTGGCTCGTGCATCGTCTTTTGGCTGCGGAGAGGCTGGCAAAGATCCGATAAGCTCCAAGAAAATCCAACCTTCCGCACTCTCTATTTTCGCGACGAATTGTGCTAGCTTTACGGCCCTGATAACCCTAGCTGTTCAGCTCTTGCGGCCCGGCTGCCGTGTATGTAATCTTGGAGGTTTGGAACGCCGTCACCTGTGCAACGGTTCCAAAGATCCTGAGTATTAAATACGGGCTGTTTTAGGATGGGGCTTCCGGGAAGCGAGTGTGCGGTGTACGAGGGACTAGGAGGAGCTCTTGTTGGGAGATGTGTTGAGCAAGCCCCAGGCGAAAAACGGCAGAGTTTCACCGGGTTCAGGGTTTCGACTTGGGCGTTTGTGGGGTTTAAAGGTTGAGGTAGCTCGCTTTGTTTGCAACCTCAGGCATAGAAGTGCTGAGGGTGAGGGCTTCTACTAAGCACGAATCTTGTGCCGTAAACTTGAAGTCACCCTCACCTGTGGAGGAATCTGTTTGGTGGATGGCAAGATTTCTGCCGAGTTGCAAAAACCTCAAACTCCAACTAAGAGCCGGACAGGCCTCAAGCCTCAAACTCAAGAAGCCAGCCCAAACCCAACCGGAACAAAAAATAGAATGAGTGCACAATGTGGTCAAACATAATACTGTAGGCCTCTGAAGATGGGCCGTTTCCTGCTAGGCCTTGATGCTACTGCTGGGTGTGATGGCTGGCTACTGGTTGTACCAAACTGCAAAACCGGAGGCTGGAGCGCTTGCCTGTTGACGGCACTTACAAGAATACGAGAAATAGCATCACCACCTCAAGCTGGGGGATTGTTGTCGAACTCGGGCAATCATGCCGCAGCTTTTCACGCTTAGTGGGTCAGAAAGACCGCTAGGACCCTTCAATTTGCCGAAACAGTCCCTGCTATTGCTGCTTACAGCCGCTAAAAGCTAGATTGGGCAGAGCGCCAGTGGGCGAAAAAGTTTGCATGTCCAGCCCGAGTTCAAGCGACATGGCTCCAGTCGTTGTCTTTGCGACAACAGAAGGGCCCTTAAGCTTTAAGAATCGAGCTGAAAAGTCAGCTGATATGGGGGCTTTAATTATTAGAATAGGGTCTTGGGGTACATTAAACTATAACCATACTAAGGAACCCCCCCCGCAAAAAAATGGTGCAGGTAATTATTTAGGCCCCTATATTCGCTGCTTCGTGTCAAACTGATATGGCAGCCCTTTCCCTTCGTTTCCCGTAATGATGCGCCCCAGCTGGAGCCTTGCACGTCACCTTGAAAGGCTGACCTAAGCTCCGCAGTTTTGGTAGGAGGGGGGGCTCAAAGGGATTGCGTTTACGGTTTGCTGTAGATTTTGAATACCCAAGGGCTCATATGTAGTCCCTTTTGGGATAGCATATCATAATTCCGTACCAAAAAACCAGAAAAGACCCAAAAAGGACCTACATTGGAGCCGCTGGGTAGTTTATGATGGTAGTAATAATAATGAGAATAACAACAATAATAATAGTAATGAAAATAATAATAATAGTAATAATAATAATAGTAATATTAATATGCATGTTTATAGTTGCGAAACCTTCCGGGGTTGGGGTCCCAAGCAAGCCCTTCCTTGAGGGGAGAGCGGCTCCTGACTTCCTCTGAAGTTCTCAAAAGGAACCGACCTGCAAAGGCCCCCCCCCCCCAAAAGGGCCCCCCGGTAGCCTCCACCTAAGCTGGAATTCGGTGGGCCCCTGAACTCTTCACGACTAGGCCTTTTTTTTGGCAGAAGCTGCTGTAAAAAATGACAACAAGCATGCCAGTCCAGCTCGAGAGGCGAGGCTTCTTCGAAGTATCAATGTATTTGACCTGGCTGTTGGAGGGAGTGGCTCTCTGTGTGTCCGGGGTGGTTCGATGCGTCGGGTTGACCACGTAATCATGTAAAATAAAGTAACCTGATATGGTCAACACACTTCAAAACCTTCTTGTGCCCCCGGGCTTCTCTGGTCTCAAGGCCTTCGTGCCATCCGTGCAGTTTATGATTCCGAGACGTTAGTGCTCGTCATCAGAGCGTTGTGTGGATCTGTGGAACTTTGCTACCGATCATGGTTGTGGTGCTCTCAACGGGCAGACCAAAACCCGGCTGCAGCGGCATCGAGGCTACAGTGGGAGCTCGGCTTCCCAAGTGGACCCTCTCTTGCAGGGCATTAGCAGGGACCCTAAACCCTTTTGCTGCAGGCTTGCAAGAACGACGCCTGGTAGTTAGCCACTCGTCCCCCTAAACCCTAAACCCTAAACCCACTGCACCAGTCCGACCCGGCTTTAGGACCCCAGCCTGGCCGGTTCCACCGTCCAACGTAAGACCGTAGAGCGCCTCTGAGGCGATTCCATCCGTTCTCGGGGGCTTAAGTTTGATAGCTAAGGCTCACGGGCCGGTAGAAGGGTTGAATCTGAGGCATTGAAGTTCTTGTGCATGCATGTGCAGGCCAGTGAAGGCAGGCCTTCTTACCGATCTCAGCGACTATCCCCAAGCTGCACAGGCTCACCAAAGCCCGGATCTCCGACTTTGACTTGGGGGCTTCCGAAAATAGGGGACCCTAATATAGTACCCTAAATACTAGGATCCCTATTATCAGGACCCCAAAATAAGGTACCCCAATTTTCTGAAACTCCCACTTCTTTCAGGTAGAGGGTTGAGGAGTCGAAGGTCTGCAGCATGGGGAGGAGACACAGGGCATCCTTCAGCGTTCCGACGCAGAGCGCTTGTGGCATGGAAATGAGGTCTGAATCCTTTTTACGGATCACCCTTAAGGCCTTAAGGGCCCATAGTGGGGGCCCATGGTTTCAACCTGAGAAACCAGGGCAAAAACTTCCACCGCGCTGAGGTCCGGACAAACTCGCAGTCTTCCTGGGTCCAGGCCACGTGGCTACCATCCAAGGCTTGCGGGAGTCTACGAAAGGTGCTTGCAGTGTCTATCACGTTGCGGATTCCAGATTGAACACGAAAGTTTGGACTGTCCTACTTTCCGTGCGGCAGCCATACAAGAGGATCTGTGCAATCAGAACGCAGGTGAAAGCACCACGCGACTCTTTCCTTGTCCAGTTACAAGGCTTTCAATTTCCGGGTGGAGTCAGGGCACATTCTTGCCCTAAACCCTAAACCGGTGTTGAGTCCAGTCTTCGGCAAGAAAAGACTCGACTTGCGACCTCCAAAGAGCCCAGGCCCAGACTTGGCTGAAGCTTCTCCGGCGCTAACACCGCTCCAAAAACCCGTACCCCGAACAGCCGCTATGGCTTCATATGAACCCTAAACCCTATATGGCTTCATAACCTTGAAGATTCCTTGTATCAAGTCCCAAGGTTCCGTGAGGCCGTAGCGAGATGCCGTGCGGGGCTTCGGCCACAGGTTGACGTTTTCAGTCAGCGTAAACCTCTCCGGTGCAGGGTGTAAAATGCATTTAGGGTTTAAGGTCTAGGGTTTTGGGTTTAGGGGTTTAGGGTAATGCATTTAGGGTTTAGGGTTTAGGCATCTTTGAAGCGTTTTGTGTTGGGGCCATTAACCTTATACGTTCTCACAGCTCGGACTTGCCGGTCGAAGTCTTTAGGTCTATAAGGTTCAGGGTTTAGGCGGCTTCAAGAGTCGGTTCCAATCCCTCTTGTCTATCTGCAGCACACGAAGTCGGCAGACGTCAAAAGCAGCTGTTTTGCATGAGCGCTGCGATTTGGCTCTAGATCCCTCCCTTGAGCAAAGCGGCCCGTAGCAAGAGAAAGGTGAGCAACTGACAACTGCTCTCACTGTACAAAGGACCT